ATAGGTGAATCTTTCAAAAATATCAAAAAAATATTTTACATTAAATAAATTGACCAAAATACCCTCAAAAAATTTCAGGGGTATTTTGATCCAATTTGTTTTTGTAGATTATTTTTTTACATATATTTTTATTAGGTGCGGCTTGATGAGAAAAACACATGCCTAAGTTTCAAATAATTTGAATTTGTAGAAAAAAAAATTAAAATTCAAACATTACCAGACATCTGCATTTATCAAATCGGCCTAGATTCAATCTCCACACCTCAAGAGGTGTTGTTTCATTTTACCAGGTTTTCACCCTTTCATGGGAAAATATTTTACTATGGTAAAATATTTGCATATACATTTGGAACAAACCAAACGTATGAAACACAATTTACATATGTAAATATTTATGCACAAACCAAACATATCCTTAGATACCTTATCCTACAGTGTAGTAACCTTTTATCCAAAGGTATTTTAAGTAAAAAAAATGTTTATACGAGGCATCAACTTATACTATGTGGATAAAGTGCACCTAAAAAACCCACCTAGAAAAAATTGTTCCTATGTTGGAAAACCCTCCAATCGATCATCTCGACTTTGAGATTCATAGACATGAAAATAGAGGATTTACAATTCTAAAAATAGTTATTCTAACACATTATCTAGACCATCCATTTTCAAGATTTTCTTACGTATATAGATCGTTTGGTCGTCACTGTTTATGAACTTTAAATTTCATGAGGGAAACAATTGATTTTTATATCATCACAAGGCTTTAACAATACCTAAACTGCATTTTTGCAGAGTTTGAGGTTCACCGTATTTCAATAGAATAAGGTTGATACATTATACAAACCTCACCCTTTAGGTAATTAGTTAAGGGTAAAATAGAAATTCCTAATAGAAACACAAGCATTTATTAACAATAGTAAATAATGACATCACCGACATTGTGTATAACATCATCCACATGATGCATTAATTATTTTCTAACTGCTAATAAAATGTCACTATTTTTTTATAAAATTATCCATTCTACCTCCCTAAATAACCAAAAATGCCACAGCTTCAAAAATTTTGTATTACAATTCAAGGATATCTAAAGGCCAATTTGGACTTCAAATAAAAAACCTTCACATTGAAAAAAATTGTAAGTTTTTTCATCCTTAATTAAGAAACATTGCCATTTTTTTTTATTATTCTGTTGGATTATTTGTATAAAGTTAACATACTAAAAGCAAAGTCGCATTCTACTATTTCAAAATTCTCTTGCCAATCTAAAAGGCTTTCCAGTGTCTCTCGCAACAATAAAAAATTTGCTTTCATACAAGAAACAAACCTGCAGCCCGAGGTTCTCCTTATTCATGAAGAGAAGGGGTTTCCATGGGTGTGGTATGAGAGAAAACGCTTGCCGTTTGTGGAGAGAGAGAGCCTTGGCTTTACAAAAACACCACCTAGGGCTGCCATGGATGAAGCTTGAGCTTCTTTGGTTTTTTGCAACCCGATGTTCACCTTATTCATGAAGAGAAGGGACTTCCCACGGGTGTGGTATGAGAGAAAAAACTTACCTTTTGTAGAAAGAAAAAGAGCCTTAGCTTTACAAAAAAAATACTTGCCTTTTGTAGAAAGAGAAATGGCCTTGGCTTTACAAAGATGCCGCCTAGGGCTGCCATGGATGAGGTTTGAGCTTTGGTTTTTTGTAACCTGAACTTCACTTTATTCATGAAGAGATGGGGTTCTCATGGGTGTAGTACGAGAGAAAAGGCTCGCCTTTAGTAAAAAGAGAAAGGCCATTAGCTTTATAAAGAAGTCGCCTAGGGCTGCCTTGGATGGGGCTCGAGCTTCTCTGGTTTTTTGCATCCCGAGCTTCCCCTTATTCATGAAGAGAAAGGGCCTCCCATAGGTGTGGTATGAGAGAAAAAGCTTGCATTTTGTAAAGAGAAAAAGGGTCTTGGCTTTATAAAAAAGCCGCCTAGGGCTGCCATGGATGGGACTTGAGTTTCTCTGAGGTTTTTTAGAGAGAGAAAATGAAAATGCTCTGTTTATTTAGAGAGAGTAGATTTGGGGTTTTTGAAGTTTCACAGAGTTGTTGGGTCACGGGTTGAGGTTTACATGGGTGAGAGAGAGAGAGTAGATTTGGGGTTTCTGAAGTTTCACGAAGTTGTTGGGTCACGGGTTGAGGTTTGCACGAGGGTGAAAGAGCTACACTTTCATCAAAAAAAATTCAAGTCTGATTGGAATTTTTTTTACGGTAACTTTTGCCTTGACATTGTAGTATTTTTTATTTCAATCTAAAAATCTAACAAAATCTTGAGGTTGTCCAAACAGTTCAAATCTGTTTCATAATATTTTTTAGTACATCCAAACTGATACTAAGTGTCCAAAAGGGTTGAGGATTAAGAGTATACACCACAAGTGGTGTAGCATAACAAAACCCTACTTCAAAATATACTTCAGATACTCTTTTCTCATCCACAGTATGGCAAGGATTGTTGATACTTCAAATATACTTTAGATACTCTTGTGATCCAGAACCGGACATAGATTAGATACTCTTGTGATCCAGAACAAGACAGCCTTTGTCATCCAGCTGATATTAACATTGCAACCCTATGCAACAAGAAGAGTCGAAAACAAATGCAAAGTGTCGGCCTGACATTGGAGAAAAGCGACACCGCTCTCTCTTGAATCAGAAAGTGATGTTTGATATTTCTTTTTTTGAATGTCAGTGATGTTTGACCAATTGTCAAAAAGGTTTTCTTCCAACATGATAAATGCATCTCAAGTTCTGAACCGTCAAACCCATGTGCAAGTCTGCATCTTTTGGATCACCACCTGTTCACTGTGTAGGCCAATATGGGCCAGACCGTGAAGATCAATCAAATTCTTCCAAGCATTCAGCATTTGAAAGAAAGTTGTTTGAACGCTCATACAGCTCCCAGCCAGCAAGCAGTTAGCCTTCCTCTACAAGGAATGGAAGTGTGGATGAATCGACATTAAATAGAGGAATTCGGTTTTTCAGCAATAACATGAGCCTTTCACAAAAACAAACCTAAGGACCCCCACCCCCCCGTCACCCCCCCTCTCTTGTCACTTCATTCAGCACCTTGTGATCTTTTAGAAGTACGAGCCCTATAGTTCAGTTTTTTTTTTGTAGATTCCGAAAATTCCATAAGCCCTTGTGGATCAGGACAAAAATGAATCAGGGAATCCTGGACATACTCATCTAGGAGCTTCTGCTCTCCTCTGGGGAGGGGTTACATAATCTCTTTTATTCTTTTAAGAAGAATGAAATAGATATTCAATGGCATATCCCTTGCGTCAATAAACAATCAAACCCTCCATCCCATTTGCTTTGTCGTTTCTTCATCCCCAGTTGATAGGGCTTCTTCCAAAACAGGTTATCAAGGATAGCGATGGTGCTTTTATTGCCACTTTCGCCACCCCCTTTGGCATTGCATCAAACAATTATGTGAATTTTTATGCTGACGAAGTAGGAATTGACCTGGCCATTGAACTCCAATGCTTTCCTCTCCAAATTGAAAGTGATTTGTCATTGTTTGTAAATGTTATTCAAGGGCACTGCAGGCCTCCATGGGCACTTCACACGGGAGCAGCCAACTGCCGTCACAAACTCTCGGACCGTAGGTGGAGCATTTCCCACATCTACCGCAAGGCCAACATGATAACAGATACACTTGCCAAGAAAGGGATAAGTCTCTCTGCTGCTACAGTTTGGCATGCTAAACCGTCGGATTTTTTTTGGTCTTCAACTCATGATTTGGCTCAATTGCCCAATGATAGGACTGTGACACTATGATCTGTATCTTCTCTATTTATAGTTAATGAAAACACTGCCCAAGAGTGTCATATTGATTAGTACAAGTGTACACAAAGCTCTACACTTTGATTCTATTGGTCACACCACTACTCCCTAATGGTTCCATGACAGATACATGAACCCACTAAGTAGCCCTGAATATCAGCCCTTGTAAGTTTATTTAGATTGGCCCTCCAGTGTCAGCTCTTCCACGATGCCAATGTCCAACAGCACATCACCAAGTCCCCAAGGCTCTTCCAAACACAACACCCAAGAACAAATCTTGGCTGCCTAAATAGTGGAAGCACCATAAACCCATAGGTCTGGTCAGCAAATGTAGGAGAGAACCATCAGTCTTTTACCATATGAACCTTGAGCAACCTCAAACTAATATAACTGATAAACGGGAATGAATGAGTGAGCCAGAATGGACGAGCAGAGTGAGTGAGTTGCACCATTGAAGACCAAGGCCCATCAACCTCAATACTTGAGGTATGGTTGGACCCTCTCCTGTTGGCAATTTTATGCATCGAACTCAAGTACTGCAGCTCCCCTCCTCCAGCCAAGTGATCCAAGACTTTCATCACCTGTTGATGTCTAAGCTGCCTTGACGTATATCTTAATAACTCCTCAAATCTTGCTCTTCCCCACCTGCGTTGACTAAAGAACTCTTCCCAAAACCCCGAAACGAATAAAATTTGATTTTACATTCCCAAATATGCAGAAAGTTTCTTTGTTCCACTCTTTCAATCTCCTTTCGACACAAGAAAGGTTTATTCTCATTCTATAATGCACAGCTCCCCCCATTCTTCAACCATTACTTGCACCTAGATCGCCATATATTTAGTGGGGTATTAGGCTTTGTTTAGCAGAAGCATTCATCACTGACAATTCATTTTGCATAGGGGGTGGCAACGGGATGGGTCCGGCGGACCCAGACCGGACCCAACCCGAAAATAGACTAGTGGGACCTGGATCTGGTCCCAGACCTAGTCTAAGACCTGAAATCAATCGGGTCCAGAGTCCCCAGACCCCAAATTGTTTATAAGGGACTCAGATCGAACCCAAATATATATATATATATATATATATATATATATATATATAAGTAAAGAAAGTAGAAGAAGAAGAGAGAGACGTAACGAAAACCTAAACAAGTA